ACTGACACTGAAGATCAGATGGCCATAATAATAAGAATAAGCAACAAGGAACTCTGGCCCGCAGAGAGCCAACCAAGAACCCATCGCCTAACAAATATGCAGAAGAGAGTGGAGATGGCTTGGGCATGCACTGAGAAGACCGATTGGGGCATCACGCTCCAGGCCAGGCCCTTGAGTGGGACTTAAAGGGCAAATGACGAATTGGATCTCTGAGGCGAGGGTGAGATGGAGGAGATGGTGTGAGGAAGAAATGAAAGCTGGTGGACAGTCGTGGCATCAGGTTCCAAAGACTGCAGAGAACAGAGTGAAATGGAGGCATGCTACTGAAGCCCCTATGTTCCACTAGGAACCCAAGGGAAAAAAAATCATGAAGGTCGTTCGTTCTCCATATGTTGATGACAAAGTAAATGCCACCGGCGATGTATACTTGTAGACTAAGACAGTAGGTTCAGGGTCATGACCTGCTATGCTTTCTTCAGTACCAGAGGATATTTGCTCTGCTGTTGTTTCCGTTTTATCATCAATAAAGGGTTAATAAACATATCGTATCCAAGGCTATGAAGAGATAAAAATATTTACAATAACTGTTTGGTGACTGTGATTGATAGATTATTATCAGTTTTGTCCATTTGCTTTTCAGATGTTTCGCCTTGAGCATAAACTTTTTCTAGCTGTCATGCTTTCATAATATGGCCGTCAGTGTGCAAACACCGGTTGCTCTTGACTCTTTTTTCCCATTTGTGAGTCACTTGATATTTAAATGATAATAGTTGTATTTGGCAACTTTATATTTAACTATTCCTGGTTATAAGACACTACAAATCATACGGTTTTTGTGTGTGATCAACGAGATTGTAATATAAAATGAACACAAGCAGACATCCAAGACATTTACTTTAGGAAAATAAGTAACGTATTTACAAATAAACTTTTTACCTCTCTATAGTAAATCATGTAAGAAGAATTCATGCTTCAAAGGACAACTAATAAAAGTGGGTACGAAATCTTAAACCATGGAACAAATATTTCAGTAAAGGATCTTTGATACACAAAACATGATCCATAAGAATATAATTATCGAATTTTATGTCTTTTTCCTTCTCATCTTTGACTAGCAATATTTTTGGGCGGATGTGATTTTACTGATTGAAAGTTCATAGTTTCCTTTAGATGTATCAGCAGGCTGACATTCTACTTATCATTACAACTATTAGTTATTATATATTTATATTCATTATCGGAAATATTACCCAATTTTCTTATGAAAATTTTATCTTTTGTTTAGTCTACGAGTTATGCATATTTTTCTGTGAAAAGTAACAATACCACTTAGGTTTTTTGGTAGGTGGAATTGATTTTACTTCTTCATCTGGTCAGTTGTAAATCGAGTTCATAAACCAATGAATACAGAGTCACTAAATTTAGACATAAATAGTGAAACAAATATTAGTGACTCTCAAGGCCACCCTAATAATTATCGAGATAACCAATCGAAGTTACATATTTTTTAAAAAAAACTGCCTTTTCAGCTGAAATAAAGAAAACGAATTGGTTATTTCAGCCGTAGTTAGGGTGGCCTTCAAAGTCACAAAAATATACCTTCATAGTGGGCGTTGCTGATCAGAGTGGGTATAAGTAGTGTATGTTGAGAGAGCGGCAGAAATCATCTAGAATTACCGGCAATGGGTAAGGATTCTGCCCAGAGAAACGCAAGAGACAATGCGGGCGTATTAAGAGCGAATCAATATGGAAGCAAAAGAGGAAATAAAGTACATTGTGCAGATGACTGTCTTAGTGCAAGGTGCACCATATTTAATGACTACTGTACAAGATATCAACGATAAAGATTCCTTCCTTCGTCTCTGTCTTCTCGTTTTCTTCACCTTGAGCCATTTAAGTATAAGGGGACTCTGAATTTAACAATCACATGTGATTGTCAACTGTGTATTTCATCAGACTAGTATCACCTAACAAATGTTGCTTACTTTTCGTATCTATTCAAGGTGTCTTAGTCATTTAGTCGATCCACGTGGTCTTTTTGTTTTGTTAACTCTTTGGGTTTAAAAATTAGAATCACTGATGAGGAAATTAAATCTCCTAGAGTCCGAACTCTAAAACCACATTCGGTGCATATATATATATATATATATATATATATATATAAACTGCATATGGATTAATCAAATATTGAAAAATTACTGTTTACCATTCTGGAAAGGCTATTTTCTGGAGAGAGAGAGAGAGAGGTACGTATTCATAACTTGCCCAATAAAACTGGTTACATAAAATGCAAATCCCCTGAAGGTTTGATGTATCTTTGTTAAGTTGTTTAATCTAAGTGCTTCATTTTATGGAACTGCCTTTATATTAACTTACTGACCTTAACTGGGTTACTACTATGTATAAAAATACTGAATACAAAGTAAATTTACTAAAAATAAGGACCGACCAGTTTGTTTCCTTGTTATATCCTATACGGATAAAAAATAAATAGATCAGTAGTAATATAGAGGTAACAGGGATATAACCTGAAATACTGACATCCCAATGGAATTTTAACCTCAGTGAATAACTAAAAAATAGGTCGGTAAAAATTGTATCCAAGTAATGCTTATCTTTAGACAAGGATTGGACAGATTTTATTTTTGTTTTAACATATTACTAGGTTAAGCCCATTCAAGTAAGAAAATCTTTGTTGAATTAGTTTTAACGGTATGCTTTTTATCACACACTAATGTCGTTGAAAGTAATTGGAAACTTCAAGATTTTGAAAACGCATTGGTCTAAACTACTCAAGAGTAAAACACTTTGGCCTTCAGTTTCGTTATTGATATGTTTCCTCTACAGATAAAAAGGAGCCTGGTCTGCTTTTACCGCCTTAAATCTCTTATGCCATTAGTTTGATATTAATCAGTCCGTGAATGTCAACATACAACCTGGTATTGGTATGTAGCAGGCCACTCTGTCACATCGCACAGCAGCATATCACGCTAGAAGACGATAGAGAAAGAAATATGTACAATATAATGAAAATTTGTGGAAACCACAGGATGAAAAGCTAGGAGGTTTAAACAAATAATGAAGTGTGATATAATGGTTAAGATGGCAATACGGCGTGGATTGGTCGGCGCTGCGGATCTATTTTGAACCATATTATCTAGAGTCGTAATTGATTTCGGTTGTCAGGTAGACCCCTGGAATAAAAGTCTGTGATACCTCAAGTGTTTCAGACAAATAGTCGGAGACCACATGCACTGATACCGCTTTTTATTTTGGGTGCCAGTGTGATATCCATATATATTATTGGGAAATAATGTATTGCATAGCAGTGCTCATCGTCCTATTGTACGGTTGTTGTTGTTTTCAAAATCTACAAGTATTTACTCTCTGTTGCCTTCTTACTATTTTTGTAGCATAGTGGGATGATGACGTGAGGAATATAAAGGTTAGGGGTGTAGTAGATAAGAAAATATCCTTACGATTATTTTCGGGTGTTCGTGAGTGTGCAATTTAAGTAGCTTACTTATTTACTCTTAACAACAAAAGATCTACGAATTTTAATGGCTAACTTCCTTCTTTATTACCATGTATCTAATATATAATTTTTTGAAAATTCCTCTTTGAGCTGCCAGTGTGTCTCCTAAGTGTAATCTGCGTTTCATACTAACAATGTAAAGTATGATGAAAAATATTTGTAGCTCAGGTGGGGATGAAATTGGTTGTGTTGCGTTCTTTAAGGTAAGTGGTTTCTTCATGAAATCTTCCTAGACAAAGTCATCAGCAATAACTTCAATATGTAGTGAGCTGTCAGGATTTTCCCATAAATAATTTAGTACCTTGCTCTGACGAAGTAGAGGTGTGGTAATAATAGACAATTATCATTTAAACTTATTCAGGAAACTGGGGTGAAAAGCTCAATGGTTGGTGAGACTATCGTGGAGAAGGATGGCTTTGTGATTCACTCTAAGGGGAGACAACCGGAATAATTGGTTGAGCACTTCAAGAAACAGCTCAAATGTCCTGCAGCTGCTATTGTATTGTCCACTATCCAGTTGAATCCTAAATAAGGCATCGAGACAAGACCATCAGGACTAGCAGAAGTCAAGAAAGCTATAGGTAACCTGAAACCAGACAGAGAAGCAAGGTCGGACGAACTAGTTCCAGAGGTATTTAAGAATGATGTTCGAGGATAATTTGGTCGAATTAACTGAATTGTTAAGTAATGTGTGGGAGTCAGATATGATCCCTTCTGACCGGTCTCAATCATTGATTGGCCCTATCTTCTTGAAAGGTGAGAAATCCTCTTGAAATCAGTCTGACAAACAGTGTCTCAGGTTTTAGGTTCTATTGCTGTTAAACGTTTAAGTGGGTCCCGGAAACAGCAAACGCGAGAAAACTGGACAGGTTTCAGACCTCGGAGTGAATGTGTCGACCAAATATTTATCCTCTATCAGGTTCTGGAGCACAAGCACACTTGCTGACGCCAGATACTGGTTGTATTTCTGTACCCTAAGACGGCATTTGACTCCGTTGATGGAGGTCTTATTTCAGTGTCTGTCACTGAAATGAATGCTAGGTAAGAACATCACTCTATTGAAGGCTTTGTACTCGAGCACTCATGAATGTATTAAAGCCTATAGTGAGTTATCAAGTGAGTTGTGTACTTCCAGTGGTGTCCATCAAGAATGTCCACTCTCTCCATTCTCATTCAACTTTATCCTAGAGTACTTATGTAAGTCTCCTTCTTGTCGTCTAACTTTGTTGCACATTCATCTCAAAATTTTCCTTAATTACTTTGATTCACCTACATTCAGTATGTCTTCTATTGAAGGAGCTAAACTGCTTTTTCTGTTTATCTACACCCTATGTATTTTTATATTTGTCTGTTGAAACTATTCAAAAATTATTACATTGTATCGGTTTTAATTTTTTATCGCTGACATTATTCCAGCTGTTTATACACTGTTGTTACTTAGTCTTCTGATTGCTTATTATTGTAGGAATAATGTACTTCATTTATGGCCTTATCTAATTGAAGATTTAAAAGCATTGGGTGCTAAAACATTTTTTGGAAAATTCTGTGCCGGTTCAATTGATCATATCAGTAAGTGTATAATACATTTCCTTTTATTTATGCGTAAAATTTTCAAATTTTACTTTTTCTTGCGCATACGTATTTCTGGGTTACATAGTGATAATCAGTTATTTCACTTTATCCTTGTGTGTGCACCTCTTAAACTCTTGCTTGGAGTTATTGAAAGTTTAGTTCGTATAGTTTGAACTGCGAAGATAAGTAAGCAGTATAACTTTCTTCTCTTATACAGTTGTCCAGTACACTAGAACTACATTTTATGACAATAAGTGAGAGAAGAATACATTGTTGTGTATTTTACTTCATTTATTCTTTGCATTGTGGCCTTGAGTTTCGTTTGGCCGTCATTACTTTAATGCCAGTTAATTAACGTCACAAAGTTTAGGTGAAAAATTGTCACACAATGGTCACATGTTACGAAGAAATTTTAACTGGTACTCACAATATGATATAATAGCATTCACTTTAATTTAATTTCTTTAAATGTATGTTAATTATGGGAACAATCTGTCAAAGATCGAGTATTTGAAGTAATAAGAAATGCATTTCCTTCTAGTCGACAACTTTGAGGCATAGTTTTCGAAGGTACACAAATATTCAGTTTTGACTGTTGTAGAGGCCTCTGTTATATGGTTTATACCAAAGGTAGAGAATGAAGTTTGAGGCTTATTGGATTTTATTTTTAAGGTAGTATTCATCATGGAATGACATGAGTAGTTCTGCATCTGACGTCAGTTCAAAATATAGAGAAGTTTGTAAAGCATTTGTGCTTCCTGACTGGTACAGCTTAGTTTACGGTTTATGCACACTAACAGGTACTGGAAAAAATCCACCTACAAAGTTACCATCGTTGACTCTTTCGGCATAGTTTAAATGAAGAAACACGTTCTATTCTGAGTCATTTTTATGAATGAACTTTAATTATGTAGTTTCCTATCAGATAATTCTATCTACCAATAGACTAACAAGATTTCTGAATTTTGATTTCATAATTATAAAGTATGGTTTAAGTAATAACATTGCACTTATTAGGTTTTCCGTCCCAGCCACCTACATTGAGTAGATTTAGTAGTAACTAGAGTTTTTATCAAGAATATACTGAAAACACAAAATCTTCGTAATCTCCCTATATCATTCAGGAAAACGGTCATTAAGATGGCATAAAATAAACCTATCAATTAGTAAGTCGACTTGTTGTAATAATAAAGCTTTTTGAAAAAAATGTAATTGTAGGTAAGTGGTTTTTGAGCACTAAAAATAGTATGAATGACCAAGCGGTAGATTTCCTGTTAAGTGTTAGTATCTTCTGAAACCTCTCTTCGTGATAACTTTCGTTTTCGTTTGTGTCGATCATCACCTGTTAAGTTTCATTACTTTAACTATACTGCGCTTACTGATCTTAAACTTAGAATTGTACCCAAATTGGGTGATATTTCTGGCTGCGAAGTTATTTGACGAGTTATCCCTAGGTGTAAAATTGGATTTAGTACGCTGATACCGATTGCATCATTAAAATGAAATACGGTTACATAATCGATACGCTTTAAGTGTCTACACTCAGGTTGCATATAAATAAACGAATTATGCTAGACAGTAATTTCATATGCTGTAAAAAAAGTAATGTAAATTTATCACCTAACACTTAAAGGCATGTTTTCTTCCCGGTTAACAAAACTGTAATGTTTTGAGAACAATATTGATGTGACAGGATCTCAAATAAAGGTTGGTTGGACAATTTCTCATACAAGATACATTCAAAGGAGACTTTGACGGCATTTATACTACTTTTTTATACCTGAAAGCTGATCTCGATTGGTTTTGATTCTGAGACATGTCTACTATCTTCTGAAGTCACTAAATTCTGTGGTCTCTTGGACTTCATTCATGGAGGTATGAGGCACCCATAGATGCTAACTCTACACAACTGTCCTTCATCTCGCCATAAACTGTCAACTTCTTCTCTTTCTCTAAGTAGTCGTATGTCTGGAAAACGCTGAACGATATGGGAGCTGCTGGGGAAAATGCCGATGCTATTAAAGTTAGGGTTTCAAGATAACTCCACTCAATGACCGATGGTGTCGATCGCATCGAAACACACCACTGAACCTCAGGATCACTTACATAGCGTTCTCAACGGATATCAGCAACCTTACGGAGAAAACGGTTATTGAACATGCAGAGTCATCAAACCGTCCTCAGGATAATGTGACCACGTTTCACAGGCATAGAGAAAAACTGTCCATACCGAAGCATCTTATATCCAAACTATTTCAAAAAGTGTAACATCAGGAAAGGGGTTATGGGTGATTTAGATTTGAATATACCATTCTTTCCTTCGATTTACGTTTAGAAATTAAATCAGTCATGACTGCATCAGTATTCACATGTAAACTAAAAATGTAGTAACGAAATCATGTGATTAGACCATTATATATTATAGAGATGGTTGCCGTGATCTCGAGTTTCGTGGTTGACTATAGGTTGTGTCATACTGGGGTCTTTGTGTGAAGATCTTGCTTTACATGAGTCGATATAATTCCTATAGCTCAAATGTAGTCGTTCGACCATTGTATATTCTCCATTTTATACATCTTTTTGTCGATTCTGTCCTACGGTTGTTTATTTTATTTTCATTGCGATAACTTGTACTCACTATACGGTTGTATCAAATCCTATTTCAAACCATTCTATGAATAAGAAATGCTCTATTTTTACTCCAATAGTTTATATGTTTCATTTGAAAGGAATAAATTGTTAAAGGTGTGATAATTCTACCACAATTTAATCAAATTATTATACCTGTCATTCAAACTATTCAGATTACTTTATTTCTTTGGGGATGGTATGCATTTTAAATGAAATTGTTTCTGCATAAAGAATAAATTATTGTGTTTCAATCATTCGTGATGTTGAGTAAAATCTTGTCGAGTTGAAACAATCTTGAAAAGTGTATTCTGTACACTATTCTTTTTTCACGATTGGTAATGATGATGGTCATTAATTTGTCAAGATATTTCATTCCAATGAAATGTTTTCAATTTTTTCATCATTGAATGTACGCACTGATATATATTTAAGTAATAAATACTGCTTGTAAAATTGTGCATAAAAGGTCTTATTAAACTACTTGAACTATTATGTTCATATGAGGCATACTTTTAATGAATTCGTTTGAAATGATTAGTGTATAGGTGTATAACTTTTATAAAAAGATTTATTAGTTTACTCAAGGTTTAGTTTTTTCTTTATGCAACCTATCTACTTCAATCGGATTACTAGTTGTGTCAGAATGTATGCAAATTATGAATTCTTTTTATATGTCAGTTGCATTGTCATTTTTCAAGGTTGATATAAAACCTGCAGTATGATAAATTACATGATTGATAAGTCTGTATTTCATTAATGTAGCATATTTTTGAAAATAATTCATATTTGTTGTTTGTTTTCGAGAAGTTATCATTAGATTTCAAAATCCCGAAGGAAAATTCTATATGCATTGTTTTTTATAGTTATTTATTTGAAGTCTAACTTTAAAAAATCTTAATAGTTAAATTCTCATAGGGTTATAGAGGAATCAGTTCTTTGTTTATCTGACGTTAGATCGTGATACGTTGATACCCGTGTGTCACTTTTGTATCCAAGCAGTTTTTATGTTGGCTTTACATGATTAAAGGGAAATATGCGATTTCCGAATTTCTTTCTCATGGGTCTCTAATTTAGGAGTCAAGTGATATCACTGATATCCAGTCATCTTTTATAGTTGACAGCTTGCATTGGTTTGCTTTTTCCCTGTTGAAGATTAAATGTATTGGATATGATTAGCGTTTCTTTATTCTTTGTTATCCGAAGAAATATTCGAAGTTGAAAAGCAGCTGCATCATGTTTGTTTCAAGTACGGATTATGTGAAGGTAAGTATGTGTTTGGACAGTGATCCCCCGTATGTCTGCGCCTAAAAAAAGGTAGGGAAACTACGGCAATAAGAATATTCAGGATAGCGTCACTCATCCTGGTGAAGCTTCACTCAATTAGCAGTTGGCTGTAAAAGCGATGTTAAAGACCGTAGCTGACTCTTAGAAAAAGGTTAGAAGGTATCAGTGAACCTCAGAAGCTTCTTCTCCTCGTCCAAATACGAACTGCTGCGCCACGACTGGTCTTTCCTAGTGCCTTGTTTAACAATGCGGAACGAAGTGGTTGAGAACATTGACAACAGTTTCTGAAGAAGGCGTATGAACCCTGTTGGGTCAGCGACCGACGAATTCTTTGCATGGATACACAAACGCTCGCTTGATCTTTCCAAATGTACACTATTTATGACCTTGGCGTGATATCCGATTTCTTATTAGTGGCCGAGTTTACCAGGCAGGATATCTCTTTCCTAGGTTGTGACTGTGAAACATAGATATCAAAGACAAGCAACATCAGAATGCCTTATGTGTTCGACCTCACTTGCCTTTATAGCATAGGCCGCATGTCGTACAACCACTGCATAGGTAATGCAGAGGTTAGGCGCAGAGTTGTAGGTCGAAGAGTTGAATCAGTTGAGGAAGTTGTGAACCTTCATGAACACAGATGGCTGGGATATGTCTACTTCAGGCGTAGTCACCGTTTGGCCGTTTGGGGGATGTTAGCTAGAGTAGGTTTCGACTGGGGAAAAGATGAAAGCAAGTAGACCAAAACATACCATGATTCCTTGAAGTCTTTTACTGTTGGTCTGAGTTGAGTTCCTGTTTCAGGTCTGCGTGACGACCGAAGTCGGTGTCTGGAGACCGTACATGATATGACTGACTATAGCTCTCATTGGCGCAGGCGAGTCCATACATTATCTTCATCCTAATCATCGTACTGAATCTCACTAATGTATCACTTTTTCTTGTTCCCTTTTGAATACTGTCTTCCTGAAACCTCTAGTTTTCATTTTGATGCCTTCTAATTAGATATGATAATATTAGGTGTGGCAACTTGGAGCATTACGCAATAATGCCAGGTTTCGTGTCGATGTTTAATGACTGAATTGCTTCAAAAACAAACTTCTAAGTTACTAAGTGCGATTTTTGTACCAGCGTTTTCTTTCATTAATCTTGCTAGAATTGCTTCTTGCGAATAGGTACACAAGTTTTGAATTGAAGCAAATATTCCCCCCCCTCCCGTCTTTTCGTTCTAATGATGTATATTTTCTATTTCTTTGGTACTACTGTACTTCATTTTCTGTTTCGACTAAATTACCACGCACAGGCATCCCATAGGTTTATCGGTCTCGCTTCTATATTTCTAAAACAATAAGACAATGGTGTCTGAGGCAGTTATGATCTCCCGAAGCTGAGCATTGCTTTATTTAGGAAGTGATAAGTGTTTTCACATAGCATGCTGACTGATAATTCTATATTGATATATAGAGGAAGACAAAGGCATTCAAAAATCAACTATTGTCATCACCTTCCATATTGAACTGCAGTCTCAAGTTCACTTCATCTAATTTACTTTTTACAACCGAGTGACATCCTTGTTTCTCCGCTGGACAGGGTTGATAAGCACAACAGTACGCATATGCATATGTAGCTGCGTATTTATGTATGGCGTAATCCTTTGCTGTATGGTTTGCATGCTCGAGTAACAGATCCTTATCACTTCTTTGAATGCAATAAATTCGTGACATCATTCCTTCTTAGACAGTAGATTTTATCAAAAGTCAATTTTGTGATTCTGCATATTGTTATTATTCTGTATTTCTATCTTTTCTGTTCATTTTCTTGAAGTTTTTGGTGGATTCTACAATTTTTGTTTAAAAGCTAAAGATAATCACCAATCCTGATGACTTAGTCTTTTTGATGTTCAGTATCATTTATTTAGTTGGTCATTGACTGAACTGACTATTCTTTATACCACTTTCCAGCACCCATTGTTCTGAACATTGTTCATCTTGAAAAAGTGTTTACTCAGTTATATATCAGTCAAAGTAGACTATGATAAACTCTAAAGTCTAGACTCCCTCTCCCTATATATATATATATATATATATATATATATATATATATATATATATATATATATATATATATATATATATATATATATATATATAAACTGCACATGGATTAATCAAATATTGAAAAATAACTGTTTACCATTCTGTAAAACTGTTTTCTGGACTTGATAATTTCGATCAGACATTCTGATACTTTGTTCTTCGTTATTATAATCGCGTAAAATTTATGACATTAATTTTGTATAGATTAATGTTATTTAGCTACTGATATTCGAATAGTTGTTGTCCACTGTCCCATAATAAAACAATTTTAATGGCTATATTTATTTCGTTTTGCCACTTAACATTCATTTTTGCTACGCTTATCGCCACATTGGTCAAAATTCTTCGAAAGTAATTTATTGTTAACAAAACGATTTACAATGCAGGATATATTTATTGATTTCAGGTTGATATCCATCATGAACTGACATCATTTGGAGGAACATTAGAAACCTGAGAGCACTGAATAGCTGTTTCGTCCTAGTATGGGACTACTACTACACTCATCACCCTACCAGTTATCGAACCCAGTACCTTCAGGTTCCGTTTGCAATACGTTACCGTTGAGCCGCTGGGTCGGAATCAACTCATCTATATTTCCTACTTCTGTCAGTTCACTATATAGCGCTACCTTCATCCAGTGTCGTCATTGAGTAACTGTCCTCATATCCGACTTAGTTTTGAATTTCTTATGGCTGTGAATGAAGACGCTATAAAATTTTCTTTATAACAGTACATTTTTTAGCATCAACGTTTATATTCTGGTAGTGTTGAAGATGCCTCGTCACCGTGTGCCTTTAAGTATACTATATTCTGAATTAAAATTACAAGTAGAGGAGAACTTGAGGTGGTGAGGGCAAAATGTGACGCTGAGTTCTCGTAGAAAACAAATAAGAAATCAAGACCAAACTGAATAAGCAAATGCATATTTTTGCGGTTTATAGGGAACCACACCTTTTGTCCCAGAGGTAATGATACTGCCTAACCATTCAAAGCATAAGGTTCGAGCCTGTAACCCGTCGATTGAAAATGAAGCCACAATTCCTCACTGATCTTTAGCTTTCTAACTTTGTTTGATGAGGTGCATACATCGTTAATCAAAATTTACTATTATTCATCTAAGTTCCTTCTAGTATTACACGTTTATTCTCTTCTCGTAGGCTTGAAACGTTTACTGGTATGTCATCATATTAACTGACTTCATTGGTTAACCTTGCTTAGGTGTTTAACCCTTGTTTTCCTTATTTTCATATTTCACATGGCGCGTTTTTCTCTTCTAGGTATTCGAACACTTCAGTGCATTCTACTGAAAGCTGCTCTATTATTTGGTGTACAAGTATTTCCTGGTATCGCCTATACATCACTAATTGAACCAAGTTCCAGTAAAGGTAATTGTGGATTTTCAAGTTTATAAATGATAGGTTTATATATATATAATCTTTTTCACTGAATATTAAAGTGGAAAATCCATTTTTGAAGTACGCGGCTATTGATGAGCACTTTCTAATCCATTATTTTTCTAGAATTCATCAATAAAATTTGAATAGGTTAACAACTAATTTTTATCACGTTCATTCTGTTATCTCACTTTTTCGTTATTTAATTATGTAACATTTCATCAATTTTTGCTAAGACGTAGGTCGGGTTCTACTAATTTCAAATGTGTGTACACTACTCTCTAGTCAAAATATGGTATTTGAAGATTTATATATTATCATAACAGATTTTTAATGTAAACTACTTAATCGGTTGTAAATCGTGTCTTCTTTTAGCTTGAACCTTGTTAATCATAGAATTCAGTGTGGCTGCTGAACTATTCACAGCATCTTAGCGTATTGTAAGTGTGACTAAAGTTTGTTTTTGTGATGTGATTTGAATAATTCACCAGTAATATTTGTGATTGTGATGATAAATCAGTAGGTCTGTCTCAAAGATGTCATTAGTTTCATGAAGCTGGCACATAGTTATGTCTTTGAGATGGATGCGACTATGGACAGAACTATGTGTTAATTGCTATCAAATATCCGAAGGTAGAAATCAGCGCATATTTATGAAGTTCTAATATTCTTACCACCTGCATCTTAGACTGGGACTATACTTATCACAGAATGTTTTACTACGAGTTCCTAGTAAAAAAGCATTTCCCTCCTAAATCCAGATACCCATATATCAAATATAAAAGTAATTCTTGGAAGTTTATAGCCGACACTCACTGGGACAAGTGACTACTATGCGTTATATCAATCGCTGATATTTCGTAGCAGTATTCAAATAAAGTTCTGTTGCATAGTTCATTGTTTTTCTCTATATTTAACTTTGGTTTTAAAGTCTTCATGTGTATACTGAATGTCAATAAATTTCATTTCGTTCATGTTGAATTGTGATTCGATCACTTATTCGATAGTGAATAAACAGTTAAATACGATTTTCGGGGTTTTCTTCACGATCCTTATTATGCTTCAACAAGCCAATTGCCTATCGATATTTACACACCTTTTTAAAATCTTCAGTCTTTAGTTGGTGAGTATGAATCAGAATAACGACTAAGCACACGTAACCCATTCTCCTAATTTAATTCCTCTTTTCTTGAAGGAAATTAGTTGAAATTTTGTCTGCTGCAAATACTAGAAACTAAGTATAGTAATGATGGGTAGTGGCTAGCAGTGGAATCCAGGATGCGCATTTCGTCCTATTTGGGACTCGTCAGCTGGATGTACTTGCCTCCCAGTGAGTAGTGTTGTTGCCACCAGGATTCGGACTCCGAAGCGATCGCTTCAAATGCGAGAGCGTTATCCACTACACCACCGGTGGGAACATCACTCACTGGGAGGCAGGTACGTCCAGCTGACGAGTCCCTAATAGGACAAAATGCACATCCTTGATCCTACTGCTAACCACTACCATCATTACTATACATAATTAAAACACAGGCAATATCGAGGCATCCGCGCAGGAGCCCATATGCCAACACAGACTGATCAATTTGGTCGAATCAACGACGGTGTAATACAAGCAATAACACTAGAAACTAAGGTTCCCATCTTTATGATGTATCTGCGTGTTTTTGTAAAATCACCTAAAATTGGTTAACGTTGCTTCCTAAACGATTGCCTCAGTCTTAAAACCTCAAATCGGATTGATATAATTTTATCGGCTATCGACCAGTCTGTCTCGCAATTGATCTTCAAGATCAAATCTTCGATTTCAGGTGAATTGGGGTGAGAATTATCGTTACATTTGATAAAAATTTCTATCTTATTTGATAATTTGCTTTGGGATACTTGTTTATGATTACATCACAGCTTTAAAGTTTGACAGGTTGCGAATTATGGAAAGGACCTTGGTTCAAACTGTCGTCCCACAACGTGGTAATTGTTTTTTGAACTTGGCGAAAGTATTTTATGATTGCGTTTGCTTTTTAAGTGTCCCAGTATACAGTGGTAGATGAATAGATAGAGAAGTCATTACCATAGGTTTAATCAGGCAAAGAGTGAAGATAGACATTTATGGATGATAATGAGTGATGTTCATACTATGTCGCGAATTGACAAAAGTTGGAATAAGTGAACGGTTGATTCCCAACCTTATGGATGAATAGTAATATCCGTACCACGAGATCTGACAGCCAAGGGTTTGGTTTCTCACAAGGTCGTGGTCGCACAATGCTAAAGATTCCCAAACTGGGTTGAAACAGTTGTTTAGTTCTCTCAGGTTTTCAAAGATTCACCAGCTGACGTCAATCCGTGATGAAAACCACTTTGAGATACAATAGCAATTTACCATCTAACATAATTACTTGTCACCTGTGCAACTAAGCCTACTCTATTACAAGATTATTATTCTAATCGTATAATTGTGAATGTATTCAGACTTTTATTGATCTCATTAATGGTGCAGAGGTGTTAGTGTGCGCCTATCTATCGGTAATTGGTACATTAGTCTTAATGACAATCTACATTGTGAATTATATTGTATTCGTCTTTGTGAATTTAGCTTTTCATTTGATATAAGGTGAAAATATTTATCTTATAAAGCATGAATTATGAGATTTTTATTCGAATAACTAGACTTCGATAATTAAATTCTCGTTTACATGTTTTCTTGATAGATGTATGCTACCAGTCATGTTTTTGAGTGGACCTGCCTGTAAACAAATTCATTATATACCCTTCCACACACATAAGTTTTTAAAAATCTATATGTTGCTTAGCATTCTAGAACAAAAATTGTTCTGTCAGCATCTCGTTATCATCGAATACTTTTTTTTAATACTGTTATAAAGGTTATTGTAACTAGGAAATAGGTAATTTGTTGTGCCACCCGAACAGCCCAGAAATTTTGTCTGCAGCTGTAGTGATAAGAAATATGATTTTACATTTTACGTGGAACTTCATTTCTTCGTTATTGTGGAACATTCCATTAAATTTCAGAAGAAATTCGGTTTAAATCGTGGAATGTGTTTCTGATTCTATTACATTTGTGTACAGAGAGTATTGATTTCTGTGGAAAGTAACATTGTATAAAGCGTTATATCATTGATGTTGAACTATTTATCATCGATTACTCCATCAAAATCTTGATGATTGGCTCTATTCACTTGACCATGTCGAGTATTTTTGTAACCCCTAGTGTGTAACCGGCTAGTAATACCTGATATTAGTTGTCTTAGAAAACAGAAAACACTTTCATCATTACTTACTGACAGACTGTTATCAGCATATTACTTTCTGTTAAATACAAGCATTACTTGTAACCTAGGGGTTGTTGACTCAAAATTTCAATCAATTCAACTCACTTTTTTGAGTATCACTGCATCTAACTTCGCGTAGGCAATCAAATGACTAGTATTATTATTACTAAGATGATTATTAGTATGATTTATTGCATAGTACAAAATACTCGCTAATGTGACTGATTTACATTGTGTCTTTTGATGTGATTTACTTTTGTAGCATAGGTAATGAGTTTTTCTCGATTTTACTTATCTTCTTGGAATAAACTTTCTTCTTTTTCCCCATATCTTTCATCAATTTAGAGGTTTAATAGTGTGTTTAACTGTGTGTGTATTATAGTAGGTGTTTATTATAAAATACTTTCAGCTCACAAGGGTGCTTTTTACACTGTTGTTTTAGAAATGAGTATCTTACCCATGTATTAAAGGTAGAAATCTGTTAGAAGGTAGAAAAAACTTAAATGTCATGTGACACCTAGTCAGCTATTACTCTAAATCCTTTATTCACATTGCATTATTATGGAATTTAAATAGGTGACCCCTATATAATCCAACGTGACTCAATAGCTTAGTTACTTAACTTTCAAGCAGTGTTTCATGGATTTCGCCAACTTAGGTATGGGTTGTAACCAGGTAGCATAATTAATCACTTCATAAATGTGGCTCTTGGACCACTGAATAAACCTATGCCGGGCTGCTGATTTGTATCATGCGTAGATGCATGTTGGCCTAAGTACTGTACTAACCTAATAAGATTATGCAGTATAATCTACCAAGTGTTTTGCGATGACTTTGAGATCATGGCACATAGGTTAAATTAACGGATCGATATCGGTTAAGTTGTAAGCATAGGAAGTGTGTAAAGGGACGATTTCACACCAATCTCAGGTATTAGGAAAAAAGGTAAATCATAAAGTCTTGTTATTACCTTGATATGTTTGTGAACTATACAAATATGCTTAAAGCATAAATATTTACTAATATCAATCTACTGTGTACTGCGTCAAGTAAACTCTTTCTCAGTCCCGAGTTCTACATCTAATTTTGAAATTATGTGATTCCTAAATCATAAACACTGGATATAATAATGAAATAAAAAGCACTGCTCTTCAGTTTTCTGAGTACATTCAACAGATTTTATGTAGTTATCTTATGAATATGAGTTGTAAATTCGTTTCGAAACGTTATCTAGTAAATAGTACTGGATCATTATTTCTTATATCAAATAAACAATCTAATATCGAATTATATCTACCAAAATGTCCACTTTTTACTCTTACAGAATATATTCACATTTAACCAGTTTACAGTAGATTTGTTTGTCCTTGTTACTCTTTCTACTCGTTTATATGTCAAATACTTTCTCTTCCCTCTCCATACTTAAAAATGACAGTACGTTCTCGGCTCAGTAACGCCTATGCATACATAAGTGCAATCACGAAATATTACCTTATTACTGCCACTATCAGGAAACGCATTGATCAAGTTGTTGAAAGTCACTACTGTGATGACTGCGGTGTTTGGATTCGGTTATTCTTACGAAGGAGATCGGACAATCTACTGTAAGCTTGAGTGTTAAGTCTCTTTACTTGTAGAAAAGTAACAGCCAGATATCCCCATCAATCGTTTACCTCATGATACCGAGGTTTGAATCAT